CAGAAATGAGACCCACAGACTCAGAAATGAGACCCACAGACTCAGCAAATGAAAACCACAGACTCAGCACTGAGACCCACAGACTCAGCAATGAGACCCACAGACTCAGCAATGAGACCCACAGACTCAGAAATGAGACCCACAGACTCAGAAATGAGACCCACAGACTCAGCAAATGAAAACCACAGACTCAGCACTGAGACCCACAGACTCAGCAATGAGACCCACAGACTCAGCAATGAGACCCACAGACTCAGAAATGAGACCCACAGACTCAGAAATGAGACCCACAGACTCAGCACTGAGACCCACAGACTCAGCAAATGAGAACCACAGACTCAGCACTGAGACCCACAGACTCAGCAATGAGACCCACAGACTCTGAAATGAGACCCACAGACTCAGAAATGAGACCCACAGACTCAGCACTGAGACCCACAGACTCAGCACTGAGACCCACAGACTCAGCACTGAGACCCACAGACTCAGCACTGAGACCCACAGACTCAGCACTGAGACCCATAGACTCAGCAATGAGACTCTTAGACTCAGCACTGAGACTCATAGACTCACCACTGAGACCCATAGACTCAACACTGAGAACCATAGACTCAGCAATGAGACCCATAAACTCAGCATTGAGACTCTTAGACTCAACACTGAGACCCACAGACTCAGCACTGAGAGCCATAGACTCAGCACTGAGACCCATAGACACAGCACTGAGACCCACAGACTCAGCACTGAGACCCATAGACTCAGTACTAAAACTTTTAGACTCAGCACTGAGACCCACAGACTCAGCACTGAGACCAACAGACTCAGCACTCACACCCCTAGACTCAGCACTGAGACCCATAGACTCAGTAGTAAGTCTCTTAGGCTCAGCACTGAGACCCACAGATTCAGCACTGAGACCCATAGACTCAGTTCTAAGACTCTTAGACTCAGCACTGAGACGCACAGACTCAGTACTGAGACCCACAGACTCAGCACTGAGAACCATAGACTCAGCAATGAGACCCATAATCTCAGCATTGAGACTCTTAGACTCAACACTGAGACCCACAGACTCAGCACTGAGAGCCATAGACTCAGCACTGAGACCCATAGACACAGCACTGAGACCCACAGACTCAGCACTGAGACCCATAGACTCAGTACTAAGACTTTTAGACTCAGCACTGAGACCCACAGACTCAGCACTGAGACCAACAGACTCAGCACTCATACCCCTAGACTCAGCACTGAGACCCATAGACTCAGTAGTAAGTCTCTTAGGCTCAGCACTGAGACCCACAGATTCAGCACTGAGACCCACAGATTCAGCACTGAGACCCATAGACTCAGCACTGAGACCCACAGACTCAGCACTGAGACCCATAGACTCAGTTCTAAGACCCATAGACACAGCACTGAGACCCATAGACTCAGTACTGAGACCCATAGACTCAGCACTGAGACCCACAGACTCAGCACTGAGACCCACAGACTCAGCACTGAGACCCATAAACTCAGCACTGAGACCCATAGACTCAGTACTAAGACTTTTAGACTCAGCACTGAGACCCACAGACTCAGCACTGAGACCAACAGACTCAGCACTCAGACCCATAAACTCAGCACTGAGACCCATAGACTCAGTACTAAGACTTTTAGACTCAGCACTGAGACCCACAGACTCAGCACTGAGACCAACAGACTCAGCACTCAGACCCTTAGACTCAGCACTGAGACCCACAGACTCAGCACTGAGACCCATAGACTCAGTACAAAGTCTCTTAGGCTCAGCACTGAGACCCACAGACTCAGCACTGAGACCCATAGACTCAGCACTGAGACCAACAGACTCAGCACTGAGACCCATAGACTCAGTACAAAGTCTCTTAGGCTCAGCACTGAGACCCATAGACTCAGCACTGAGACCCATAGACTCAGCACTGAGACCCACAGACTCAGCACTGAGACCCATAGACTCAGTACTAAGACTCTTAGACTCAGCACTGAGACCCACAGACTCAGCACTGAGAGCCATAGACTTAGCACTGAGACTCACAGACTCAGTACTAATACTCTTAGACTCAGCACTGAGACCCACAGACTCAGCAATGAGACCCACAGTCTCAGTACTGAGACCCACAGACTCAACACTGAGAGCCATAGACTTAGCACTGAGACCCACAGACACAGTACTAAGGCTCTTAGACTCAGCACTGAGACCCACAGACTCAGCAGTGAGAGCCATAGACTTAGCACTGAACCATAGACTCAGCACTGAGACCCATAGACTTGGCACTGATATCCATAGACTCAAGACTGAGACCAATAGACTCAGCACTGAGACCCACAGACTCAGCACGGAGACCTACAGACTCACACTGAGACCCATAGACTTAGCACTGAGACCCATAGACTCAGCACTGAGAATTACAAACTCAGCAGTGAGACCCATAGAGTCAGCACTGAGATCCATAGACTCAGCACTAAGATCCATAGACTCAGCACTGCACCATAGACTCAGCACTGAGACCCACATTCTCAGCACTGACACCCATAGACTCAGCGCTGAGACCCATAGACTCAGCACTGAGATCCGCAGACTCAGCACTGAGACCCATAGATTCAGTACTACGACTCTTAGACTCAGCACTGAGACCCTCCGACTCAGTATTGTGAGCTTTAGACTTAGCACTGAGACTCACAGACTCAGCATTGAGAACCATAGACTCAGCACTGAGACCCATAGACTCAGCACTGAGAACTATAGACTAAGCACAGAGACCAATAAATTCAGCTCTGAAACCCATAGACTCAACACTGCTTCCCATAGACTTTACACTGCCAAACATAGACTCTACACTGCCACCCATAGGCTCAATACTGCTGCCCATAAACTCAACCCTGCTACCCATAGACTCAACACTGCTACCAATAGACTCAATACTGCCACTCATAGACTCAACACTGCCACCCATAAACTCAACACTGCTGCCCATAAAATCAACAATGCTAACCCATAAACTCAACACTGCCACCCATAAACGCAATACTGCCGCCCATAATCTCAACACTGCCACCCATAGACTCAACACTGCCACCCATAGACTCAGCACTGCTGTTCCCCATAGATTCAGCACTGTCACCCATTGACTCAGCACTGAGACCCACAGACTCAGCACTGAGAGCCATAGACTTAGCACTGAACCATAAACCCAGCACTGAGACCCACAGACTTAGCACTGAGACCCATAGAATTAGCACTGAGACTCACAGACTCAGCACTGAGACCCATAGACTCAGCACTGCACCATAGACTCAGCACTGTGACCCACAGACTCAGCACTGAGACCCATAGACTGAGCATTGACACCCATAGACTCAGCACTGAGACCCATAGACTCAGCACTGAGATCCACAGACTCAGCACTAAGACCCATAGACTCAGTACTAAGACTCAGACTCAGCACTGAGACCCACAGTCTCGGCACTGAGAGCCAAGACTTAGCACTGAGACTCACAGACTCAGCACTGAGACCCATAGACTCAGCAGTGAGACCCATAGATTCAGCACTGAGACCTATAGACTAAGCACAGAGACCCATAGACTCAGCACTGCTACCCATAGACTCAGCACTGATACCCTTAGACTCTACACTGCTACCCATAGACTCAACACTGCTGCCTATAGACTCAACACTGCCACCCATAATCTCAACACTGCCACCCATAGACTCAACACTGCCACCCATAGACTCAACACTGCTGCTCATAAACTCAACACTGCTGCCCATAAACTCAACACTGCTACCCATAGACTCAACACTGCTAACCCATAGACTCAACATTGCCACCCATAGACTCAACACTGCCACCCATAAACTCAACACTGCCATCCATTTCAACACTGCCAACCATAAACTCAACACTGCTACCCATAGACTCAACACTGCTAACCCATAGACTCAACACTGCCAACCATAGACTCAGCACTGCCACCCATAAACTCAACACTGCTACCCATAGACTCAACACTGCTAACCCATAGACTCAACACTGCCAACCATAGACTCAGCACTGTCACCCATAAACTCAACACTGCTACCCATAGACTCAACACTGCTAACCCATAGACTCAGCACTGCCACCCATAAACTCAACACTGCTACCCATAGACTCAACACTGCTAACCCATAGACTCAACACTGCTAACCATAGACTCAGCACTGCCACCCATAAACTCAACACTGCCACCCATAGACTCAACACTGCTAACCCATAGACTCAACACTGCTAACCCGTAAACTCAACACTGCCAACCATAGACTCAACACTGCCACCCGTAAACTCAACACTGCCACCCAAAATCTCAACACTGATCCATATACTCAGCACTGCCACCCATAAACTCAACACTGCCACCCATAAACTCAACACTGCTACCCATAGACTCAACACTGCTAACCCATAGACTCAACACTGCCAACCATAGACTCAGCACTGTCACCCATAAACTCAACACTGCTACCCATAATCTCAACACTGCCACCCATAGACTCAACACTGCACCATAGACTCAACACTGCCAACCATAGACTCAACACTGCCACCCATAAACTCAACACTGCCACCCATAATCTCAACACTGCCACCCATAGACTCAACACTGCACCATAAACTCAACACTGCTACCCATAGACTCAACACTGCCACCCATAGATTCAGCACTGAACTATAGACTCAACACTGCACCATAGACTCAACACTGCCACCCATAGACTCAACACTGCACCATAAACTCAACACTGCTAATCCATAGACTCAACACTGCACCATAGACTCAACACTGCCAACCATAGACTCAACACTGCCACCCATAAACTCAACACTGCCACCCATAATCTCAACACTGCCACCCATAGACTCAACACTGCACCATAGACTCAACACTGCTACCCATAGACTCAACACTGCTAACCCATAGACTCAGCACTGCCAACCATAGACTCAGCACTGCCACCCATAAACTCAACACTGCTACCCATAGACTCAACACTGCCAACCATAGACTCAGCACTGCCACCCATAAACTCAACACTGCTACCCATAGACTCAACACTGCCACCCATTTCAACATTGCCAACCATAGACTCAGCACTGCCACCCATAAACTCAACACTGCCACCCATAATCTCAACACTGCTACCCATAGACTCAACACTGCACCATAGACTCAACACTGCCACCCATAGACTCAACACTGCTAACCCATAGACTCAGCGCTGAACTATAGACCCAACGTTGCTAACTCATGGACCCAACCCTGACTATCAGCATGCCGACATGTTGTGTGTGTGTGTGCGCGAGAAATTACCGCAGGATTGACGAGACAATCTTCACCATCTCCTCCTTGGTCTCGTGCCACATTGTGGCGCAGATGTAGATTTTCACGTACTCCTGCTCCAGGCTTGACCGAGGGCAACAAAAACCAAGGGGCTGTCCATAAATGACGTCACGCGTCACACGGCGTTTTACAAAATGTCAGACCCCCCCCCCTCAAATATGACGTCACAAAGATCTGCCCACCACCACCCCCCCCCCCCCCCCCCCCAAAAAAAAATATAAAACACGCTTCAAATCGCTTTAAACTATTTTCATTGTGGTTGCGTATTTAATGTGGCGCTGCACTCTGATGTTGTCGGAGAAAACATTTATTTAAAAAAAAGTCTATTTTATTCAGCAGAACGTGTTGTCCATATTTATTTAAAGTTGCACATTATTACGTGACGTCACATTTCTCAACCCACCCGTTTCGTCACGCATCGTCACAAATGTCTGACCCCACCCCCGCCCACCAGGTGCGTGACGTCATTTATGGACGGCCCCCCCATGAGAAACAACACGGACAAAGAAATTTCCAACAACAGCGGCATCGAGTACAATACCGGAGGTTTCAATCTGTGATTTGAAGCTTTCGTGACTGCAGGAATCCATACCCTTTGGTGTTTATCCTGTAAAGTCCTCACGTAGGTGGACGAACGAAAGAATGTTAAACGATATAGGAATAGGTTTTTACCCTTTTAACTGGCCTCAAAAAACTGACACCTTTATTCAAGGCATCATAAATTTCGATTTAAAGCTTTCGTGACTGCAATGATTCATCTTCTTTGGTTCTTTCGGTAAAGTCACGTAGAATGAGAATAAAATAATAAATTGATAAAATAAAATAACACAATAATATTCTCACGACGTTTCGGCCACAACACAAGCGGCCTTCATCAGGTGAAGGGGCGAGACTGTCTGGTAGGACAGCGGCTGTCCTACCAGACGTCGTGAGAATATTATTGCGTTATTTTATTTTATCAATTTATTATTTTATTCTCATTCTACGTGGTGACTTTACCGAAAGAACCAAAGAAGATGAATCATTGCAGTCACGAAAGCTTTAAATCGAAATTTAATGTAAAATGTGTTTGTGTGTTTGTTTTTGTGTGTCGTCAAATCTGCCACCACTACCACCACCACCACACGACACGGCCCAGTCAGGAGGTTTGTTGTTACCACGCGAACATGAAACGTGGTGGGCAATTCTGGTACCGTGTACGGCACTAAAGCTTCTGTTGTGGTGTGTTGGAGAGTCAAACCCCACTACACACATTTACAATAATAGCGCAGTGTTTAGTGACAAACACACACACACTCCTATAGGCACACAAAAACACAGACACACATCATACAGACACACACGCGCACAGCCACACAGACACACACAGTCACACACACCCACACAGTCACACACACGCACACAGTCACACACACACGCACACAGTCACACCCACACAGTCACACACACGCACACAGTCACACACACGCACACAGTCACACACACGCACACAGTCGCACACACGCACACAGTCACACACACGCGCACAGTCACACCCACACAGTCACACACACCCACACAGTCACACACACGCACACACAGTCACACACGCGCACAGTCACACACACGCACACAGTCACACACACACACAGCCACACACACCCACACAGTCACACACACGCGCACACAGTCACACACGTGCACAGACACACACACGCGCACAGTCACACACACCCAAACAGTCACACACACAGTCACACACCCCCACACAGTCACACACACCCACACAGTCGCACACACGCACACAGTCACACACGCACACAGTATCACACGCACACAGTCACACACGCACACAGTCACACACACCCACACAGTCACACACACCCGCACAGTCACACACACACAGTCACACACAAACGCACACAGTCACACACACAGTCACACGCGCACACAGTCACACACACGCGCACACAGTCACACACGCACACAGTATCACACGCACACAGTCACACACGCACACAGTCACACACACCCACACAGTCACACACACCCACACAGTCACACACACACCCACACAGTCACACACACCCACACAGTCACACACACGCACACAGTCACACACACAGTCACACACACCCACAAAGTCACACACACCCACACAGTCACACACGCACACAGTCACACACACCCACACAGTCACACACACAGTCACACACACCCACACAGTCACACACACACGCGCACACAGTCACACACACACGCACACAGTCGCACACACACAGTCACACACACCCACACAGTCACACACACACGCACACAGTCACACCCACACAGTCACACAGTCACACACACACGCACGCCCACACAGACACACACACCCACACAGTCACACACACCCACAGAGTCACACACAGTCACACACACACGCACGCGCACACAGCCCTCAGACGAGGCCACCAACCTCCTGTCGCGGTGGCCCTCCGCCTTGCCCGCCGGCGACCCCTCGGGCCGCCTGCGGCTCAGCAGCAGCCCCGCGGTCACGCACAGCGAGTGCGGCGAGCCGCGCGCGAACAGGTCCCGGGTGCGCTCCATGCGCATCCCGTCGCCGCGCCACGCGTGGCACGCGACGAGGAGCAGCAGCGCGCCGAGCCACAGCGCGCCCGCCGCCGCCGTCGCCGCCGCGTTCGCCGCGTGGCCCCGGCCCGGCCACGCCGCCTCGGCGGCGTCCGCAGCCGAGGGGGCGTCGAGGTACGCGCAGGCCGCCCGCACCGTGCGCTCGTAGAAGAGCTCGCGGGCGCCGACGCTCGCGTTGCGCGGCGCCGACGCCCGCGCGGCCACGGAGGCGCAGCCGCCCAACGCGGCGTCGCCGCCGCCGAGGGCCGCGTAGACGGCGAAGGGGAACAGGAGGGCGACGGGCGACGCCAGGCACAGCGGCGCCGCGAAGCAGCTGCGCTGCTGGCGGATCTTGCACGCGGCGCTGGCGAACCACGCGCAGGCGACGGTGGCGGCCGCCTGCGCCCCGAACAGGGCGAGGGCGAGCGTCGCGCCGGAGGGGAGGCCGCCGCCGTCGGCGCCGGCGACGACGACGGCGGCCACGCGGCCGTAGTCCCGGCCGTGCTCGAGGCCGAGCGCGGCGAGCGCGACGCCGACGGCGGCGACGACTCTCGCCGCCGAGCCCGAGAGCTCGGCGAGGTTGGCCGAGGCGGCGAGGGCGCGGCGGTGCCCGGCGAGCCACCGCTCGGGCGTGAAGTTCTCCCACCAGTGGAGGGAGACGAGGAGGAGGCCGACGAGGAGTAGCGTCAGGTGGACGAACTTCTCGGCGGTGGCGTCGGCGGGCTGCTGCGGCTGCTGCGGCTGCGGCTGCAGGTCGACCAGCGACACCTTGACGGCGATCGAGGCGAACGCCAGCAGGCACGCGGCCAGCGCGGCGACGCTCCGAGCCCGCCTGCCGCGGCCCGCGGGCGCCTGGAACGCGTTGGCGACGTCGAGGAGGGCCGGCGCGAGGGTCACTCCGTTGAGGACGAGGATGCCGCTGACGATGTCCAGCGCCGGGCCCGGGATGACCACGGTGGCCATGATGGAGGCGCCCGCGCCAGCGAAAGCCTCGACGAGGCAGTTCTGTTGGTCGGCGTCGACGTCCGGGGTTGGTTTGGTTGTTTGTTTTGGTTGTTTGTTTGGTTGTTTGGTTGTTTGGTCGTCGTCGTCGTCGTAGTCGCAACGGACGGACGGATTGCGAGAAAAAAAACGAAACGGGAGAAAACGGACGGCGATAAGGCCACTGAGATTGGGTTGGTTGCTTCGTTGTTGCGTGCGCTGTGCGTTGTGTGCGTGTGACTTGTGTGTGTTGTGTGTGTGACTTGTGTGTGTTGTGTGTGTGACTTGTGTGTGTGACTTGTGTGTTGTGTGTGTGTGTTGTGCGTGTGACTTGTGTGTGTGACTTGTGTGTTGTGTGTGTGACTTGTGTGTTGTGTGTGTGCGTTGTGTGTTGCGTTGTGTGTTGTGTGTGTGTGTGTGACTTGTGTGTTGTGTGTGTTGCGTTGTGTGTGTGTGTTGTGTGTGTGTGCGTTGTGTGTGTTGTGTGTGTGTGTGTGACTTGTGTGTTGTGTGTGTTGCGTTGTGTGTGTGTGCGTTGTGTGTGTGTGTGTGTGACTTGTGTGTTGTGTGTGTTGCGTTGTGTGTGTGTGTTGTGTGTGTGTGCGTTGTGTGTGTGCCTTGTGTGTGTATATACGTTGTGTGTGTGTGTGTGCGTTGTGTGTGTGACTTGTGTGTTGTGTGTGTGCGTTGTGTGTGTTGCGTTGTGTGTGTTGTGTGTGTGCGCATTGTGTGTGTGTGTGCGTTGTGTGTGTTGCATTGTGTGTGTGCGTTGTGTGTATATGTTGTGTGTGTGCCTTGTGTGTGTATACGTTGTGTGTGCGTTGTGTGTGTGACTTGTGTGTTGTGTGTGTGCGTTGTGTGTGTTGCGCTGTGTGTGTGCGTTGTGTGTGTTGCATTGTGTGCGTTGTGTGCGTTGTGTGTATATGTTGTGTGGTGTGCCTTGTGTGTGTATACGTTGTGTGTGTGTGTGCGTTGTGTGTTGATCTGCCCTGTGACCTCCTGCCAGCGTGCGTTCGACACTTCACGTGGTCTCAAGGTGCACATGGCCTGGCACAAGCATCGTGTTGACGTCACCGCCACTTAGTGGTGAATAGCGGTTGTTGTTGTGTGTGTTGTGTGTATACGTTGTGTGTGTGTGTGCGTTGTGTGTGTCTGCGTGCGGACCAGAGCGTCATTCGAAACAAAACAAAAAAACGAAATCTAAAATCTATCATTAATGTTTAGTTTACCAGCTTTGAAGTCCCCAACTGAGCCGCTATGCCGTAGCTATTTTTGTTCAGAAGCAGACCTGGCCATCACAAATGGCACGAGCGAGACGATTTGGGCGACATCATCATCATAATCAACATCAACATCGTGTGACAATGTGTAGCAGCAGCCAACTTCTGTAAAAGTACAGGGATGCATAGAGACCCACAGAGACACATGGAGATACACAGAGACAACGCAGATACCCATAGGGACCCATAGATATACATAGCCAAAAAGACCCATAGATACATAGATAGCCATAGAGAACCATAAAGACACAGAGATACACAGATACCAATAGATATATCCATAGAGATCCATAGATACCCATATAGATGCTGAGAGAGCCATAGAGACCCAAAGAGATACATAGAGACCCATGGAGTCCTATGGAGATACATAGAGACCCATAGAGATACATAGATAGCCATAGAGAACCATAAAGACACAGAGATACACAGATACCCATAGGGACCCATAGAGATGCATAGAAGCACACAGATAACCATAAATATCTATAGAGATCCATAGATACCTATAAAGATGCTGAGAGACCCATAGAGACCCATAGAGATACATAGAGACCCATGGAGTCCCATGGAGATACATAGAGACCCATAGAGCTACATAGATACCCATAGAGATACATAGAGACCCATAGAGATACATAGAGATATACAAAGATACCCATAGAGACTCATAGAGATACATAGAGACCCATAGAAACTATTGGACATACATAGAGACCAATAGAGACACATACAGATATATATCATCATCACGTGGACATTTATAACAGCAGACCAATACTCTCAACGCACAGAGGGCTATGGAGACCCATGGAGATACATAGAGACCCATAGAGATACATTGAGATATGTGTAGAGACTCATAGAGATACATAGATATCTGTGTAGAGACCCATAGAGATACATATAGACCCATAGAGATACATAGAGACCCATGGAGATACATAGAGATCTGTGTAGAGACTCATAGAGATACATAGAGATCTGAGTAGAGACCCATAGAGATACATAGAGACCCATAGAGATACATAGAGACCCATGGAGATACATAGAGATCTGTGTAGAGACGCATGGAGATACATAGAAACCCACAGAGACCCATAGAGATCTGTGCGGAGACCCATAGAGATACATAGAGACCCATGGAGATACATAGAGACCCATAGAGATACATAGAGATCTGTGTAGAGACCCATAGAGACACACAGAGATATCCATAGATATGCGTAGAGATACATAGAGACACATAAAGATACATAGAGACCCATAGAGATATATAGAGACCCATAGAAATCCATGGACATGCATAGAGACCAATAGAGACACATAGAGATATCCATCATCATCACGTGGACATTTATAACAGCAGACCAATACGCTCAACGCACAGAGGGCTATGGAGAACCATGGAGATACATAGAGACCCATGGAGATACATAGAGATCTGTGAAGAGACTCATAGAGATACATAGAGATCTGTGTAGAGACCCATAGAGATACATATAGACCCATAGAGATACATATAAACCCATGGAGATACATAGAGAGCTGTGTAGAGACGCATAGAGATACATAGAGACCCATAGAGATACATAGAGATCTGTGAAGAGACTCAAATAGATACATGGAGATTTGTGTTGAGACCCATAGAGATACATAGAGACTCATAGAGATACATAGAGACCCATGGGGATACATAGAGATCTGTGAAGAGACCCATAGAGATACATATAGATCTGTATAGAGACCCATAGAGATACATATAGACCCATAGAGATACATATAAACCCATGGAGATACATAGAGAGCTGTGTAGAGACGCATAGAGATACATAGAGATACATAGAGATATGTGTAGAGACCCATAGAGACACATAGATATATCCATAGATATGCGTAGATATACATAGAGATCTGTGTAGAGATGGATGGAGATACATAGAGTCCCACACAGATACGTAAGATGCAAAACTAAACCATTTATGAATTAATATTTATTTATTTATTGACTGTGCAGCGACTCAACGCAGTGGATTATGTCATCATCATCACGTGGGGCTTATGTCGTCATCGTCGTCGTCATCACGTGGGGATTTACAGCAGGAACAGTCTGAACGCGTGATGACGATTCTAAACGGGGAGGGGAAATCACGCGACCGTGGTGAGAGAGACACGCAAACTCGGGATCGAACCGCGACCTCCTGCACACCAGGCGAGGTAGTTAACATCTCACCACGGGGAGAGGGAGAGAGAGAGAGACATGCAAACTACCAAATACACAGCAGCCATCAGGGTCGGGATCGTCGCGATGAAACCCGCGACCTCCGGCACACCGGGCGAGGTAGTCAACATCTCCTAGCCACCTGTGTGCCCCCCGTAGCTAGCACTGTGATAAACGACTCCATGGGCGAGAGAGAGAGGACTGGGTGGAGATGCAGCACTTGTCGTGGTAACAAAAAAAATAAACATTCAAAATATGACATAGAAAACAGAGGTAGACCATAGACATAGAGGAGGGAGTGAGGGGGTAGAGAGAGAGAGGGGAGTGGGGGGTAAGAAGGAGAGCAGAGCGTGAAATATTTTGTGAAACATTTCATTTAAAAACTGGGGGGGGCGGGGGGTTACATAAAGCAAAGCGTTGAAAAACAAAACCGAAATGATGAACGGAGCAAAGTGCCGGCTACACCAAACATCTCCTAATTGCTTCCTCTCCGATCGCAACAGTACGAGAGGTCCTGGCATTGGGGGTCACTGAGACGGACGGACGGACGAACCGACTAGCTTACTCACCAGGGCTATCGCCTTGAAGTTGAAGACCTCCGAGGCCTTGAACATCAGCCGCAGGATGCAACGGACGAGGCTGAAGATGGCCGGGAGGGTGAGCGTCAGGGTGAGCATCCAGCGGACGAACATGTCCTCCTCCGGCGAATCGAAGACCCTCTTCAGCTCCCCCATGTAGACGAGGCAGAGCTGATGCGACGGCCGAGGTTAGGAAGGAGAGGAGAGAGAGATAGAGAGAGATATAGAGAGAGATAGCGAGATATAGCGAGAGATAGAGAGAGATAGAGGGATAGAGAGAGATAGCGAGAGAGAGATAGGGAGAGAGAGATAGAGGGATAGAGAGAGATAGCGAGAGATAGCGAGAGAGATAGAGATAGATATAGAGAGATAGAAATATAGCGAGAGAAAGAGAGAGATAGCGAGAGATAGAGAGAGATAAACAGATAGCGAGAGATAGAGAGATATAGTGGGAGATAGAGAGAGATAGAGAGAGATAGAGAGAGATAGAGAGATAGCGAGAGAGATAGCGAGAGATATAGAGATAGCGAGAGAGAGATAGAGATAACGAGAGAGATAGATAGAGATAGAGAGAGATAGAGAGATAACGAGAGAGATAGAGAGAGATAGTGAGAGAGAGAGAGATATATAGTGAGAGATAGCGAGAGAGAGAAAAGAGAGACACAACAAACGTCTCTAACTCTGCGTAGTTTCCGCGACGCGACACCGGGTGATGTACAACGCCGTAGAGCCGGGGCCGGATCAAGGCGTCGTACACTACACTATATACTACTACACTACTATACACTACACTATATACTACTACACTACTATACACTACACTATATACTACTACACTACTATACACTACACTATATACTACTACACTACTATATACTACACTATATACTACTACACTACTATACACTACACTATATACTACTACACTACTATACACTACACTATATACTACTACACTACTATACACTACACTATATACTACTACACTACTATACACTACACTATATACTACTACACTACTATATACTACACTATATACTACTACACTACTATACACTACACTATATACTACTACACTACTATACACTACACTATATACTACTACACTACTATACACTACACTATATACTACTACACTACTATACACTACACTATATACTACTACACTACTATATACTACACTATATACTACTACACTACTATACACTACACTATATACTACTACACTACTATACACTACACTATATACTACTACACTACTATACACTACACTATATACTACTACACTACTATACACTACACTATATACTACTACACTACTATACACTACACTATATACTACTACACTACTATACACTACACTATATACTACTACACTACTATATACTACTACACTACTATACACTACACTATATACTACTACACTACTATACACTACACTATATACTACTACACTACTATACACTACACTATATACTACTACACTACTATACACTACACTATATACTGCTACACTACTATATACTACACTATATACTACTACACTACTATACACTACACTATATACTACTACACTACTATACACTACACTATATACTACTACACTACTATACACTACACTATATACTACTACACTACTATACACTACACTATATACTACTACACTACTATACACTACACTATATACTACTACACTACTATACACTACACTATATACTACTACACTACTATACACTACACTATATACTACTACACTACTATACACTACACTATATACTACTACACTACTATACACTACACTATATACTACTACACTACTATACACTACACTATATACTACTACACTACACTATATACTACTACACTACTATATACTACACTATATACTACTACACTACTATACACTACACTATATACTACTACACTACTATACACTACACTATATACTACTACACTACTATACACTACACTATATACTACTACACTACTATACACTACACTATATACTACTACACTACTATACACTACACTATATACTACTACACTACTATACACTACACTATATACTACTACACTACTATACACTACACTATATACTACTACACTACTATACACTACACTATATACTACTACACTACTATACACTACACTATATACTACAGTATATACTACTACACTATCATACACTACACTATATACTACTACACTACTATACACTACCCTATATACTACTACACTACTATACACTACACTATATACTACTACACTACTATACACTACACTATATACTACTACACTACTATACACTACCCTATATACTACTACACTACTATACACTACACTATATACTACTACACTACTATACACTACACTATATACTACTACACTACTATACACTACACTATATACTACACTACTATACACTACACTTTATACTACTACACTACTATACACTACACTATATACTACTACACTACCATACACTACACTATATACTACTACACTACTATACACTACACTATACACTACTACACTACTATACACTACCCTATATACTACACCATACACTAATACACTACACTATATACTACTACACTACACTATACACTACACTTTATACTACTACACTACTATATACTACACTATATACTACTACACTACTATACACTACACTATACACTACACTACTATACACTACACTATATACTACTACACTACTATACACTACACTATATACTACTACACTACTATACACTACACTATATACTACTACATTACTATACACTACACTATATACTACTATACACTACACTATATACTACTACACTATATACTACTACACTACTATACACTACACTATATACTACTACACTACTATACACTACACTATATACTACTACACTATACACTACACTATATACTACTACACTACTATACACTACACTATATACTACTACACTACTATACACTACACTATATACTACACTATATACTACTACACTACCATACACTACACTATATACTACTACACTACTATACACTACCCTATATACTACTACACTACTATACACTACACTATATACTACTACATTACTATACACTACACTATATACTACTACACTACTATACACTACACTATATACTACTACACTACTATACACTACCCTATATACTACTACACTACTATACACTACACTATATACTACTACACTACTATACACTACACTATATACTACTACACTACTATACACTACCCTATATACTACTACACTACTATACACTACACTATATACTACTACACTACTATACACTACACTATATACTACTACACTACTATACACTACACTATATACTACACTACTATACACTACACTTTATACTACTACACTACTATACACTACACTATATACTACTACACTACCATACACTACACTATATACTACTACACTACTATACACTACACTATACACTACTACACTACTATACACTACCCTATATACTACACTATGCACTAATACACTACTATATAGTATACTATTACACTACTATACACTACACTATATACTACTACACTACACTATATACTACTACACTACTATATACTACACTATATACTACTACACTACACTATACACTACACTACTATACACTACACTATATACTACTACACTACTATACACTACACTATATACTACTACACTACTATACACTACACTATATACTACTACATTACTATACACTACACTATATACTACTATACACTACACTATATACTACTACAATACACTAAACTATACACTACTATGCACTACACTATACACTACTATACACTACACTACTATACAGTACTATGTACTACACTACTATACACTACACTATATGCTACACTACTATACACTACACTACTATACAGTACTATGTACTACACTATACAATACACTACTATACACTACACTACTATACACTACACTACTATACAGTACTATGTACTACACTATACTATACACTACACTACTATACAGTACTATGTACTACACTATACAATACACTATACACTGCACTACTATACAGTACTATGTACTACAGTATACACTACACTATTATACAGTACTATATACTAAACTATACAATACACTATACACTACACTACTATACAGTACTATCTACTACACTATACACTACACTACTATACAGTACTATGTACTACACTATACACTACACTACTATACAGTACTATGTACTACACTATACACTACACTAGACACTACACTACTATACAGTACTGTGTACTACACTTTAAACTACACTATACACTACACTACTATACAGTACTATGTACTACAGTATACACTACACTATACACTACACTACTATACAGTACTATGTACTACACTATACACTACTATACACTACACTGCTATACAGTACTATGTACTACACTATACACTACACTATACACTACTATACAGTACTATGTACTACACTATACACTACTATACAGTACTATGTACTACACTATACACTACACTACTATACAGTACTATGTACTACACTATACACTACACTACTATACAGTACTATGTACTACACTATACACTACACTAGACACTACATACTATACAGTACTATGTACTACACTATACACTACACTAGACACTACACTACCATACACTACTATACACTACACTATACACTACATTCGCCGCTCCCCCTCCTTCTCCACCCCCCCTCCCCCCGCCCCCTTCACCTCGCTGACGACGGCCGTGGCGAGCACGACGAGGAAGAGGAGAGCGAGCAGGAGGAGTTTGACGAGGCGGAGACACCGAGTCGAAGTCTCCTCCTCGTCCACGTCCGGACGGATGTTGAACCGATCCCAGAAGCTGCAAGTGGGGGAGGGGGGGGTGATGGTGGTGGTGATGGTGGTGGTGATGGTGGTGGTGATGGTGGTGGTGATGGTGGTGGTGGTGGTGATGATGGTGGTGATGGTGGTGGTGATGGTGGTGATGGTGGTGGCGGTGGTGATGGTGGTGGTGGTGATGGTGGCGGTGATGGTGGTGGTGATGGTGGTGATGGTGGTGGTGGTGATGATGGTGGTGGTGGTGATGGTGGTGGTGATGGTGGTGGTGATGGTGGTGGTGGTGGTGATGATGGTGGTGATGGTGGTGGTGATGGTGGTGATGGTGGTGGCGGTGGTGATGGTGGTGGTGGTGATGGTGGCGGTGATGGTGATGGTAATGGTGGTGACGATGGTGGTGGTGGTGATGGTGGTGATGATGGTGGTGGTGATGGTGGTGATGATGGTGATGGTAATGGTGGTGACGATGGTGGTGATGGTGGTGATGGTGATGGTCATGGCACAGTAGGGGGCACAGGTGGCCAGTGACATCAGTTAACCCCATGGCACTTGCTGGGTCTGTCCCGTGACCTCCTCCTCATGCACCTAGCCTGGCACAGCAGTACAACCCACGGCACCTGCTGGGTCTGTCCCGTGACCTCCTCATGCACCTAGCCTGGCACAGCAGTCAACCCATGTCACCTGCAGGGTCTGTCCCGTGACTTCTTCATCATGCACCTAGCCTGGCACAGCAGTACAACCCACGGCACCTGCTGGGTCTGTCCCGTGACTTCATCATGCACCTAGCCTGGCACAGCAGTCAACCCATGGCACCTGCTGAGACTGTCCCGTGATCTCGTTGACATGCACCTAGCCTGGCACAGCAGTACAACCCATGGCACCTGCTGGGTTTGTCCCGTGACCTCCTCCACACGCACCTAGCCTGGCACAGGAGCCGTGTTATTGTTGTGTATGTGCGTGAGTGTATGCGTGTTTCTTTGTGTGTGTGTGTCTGTGTTTGTCTCTGTGTGTGTGTTTGTCTCTGTGTCTGTGTGTGTGTGTCTGTGTGTCTCTGCGTGCGTGTGTGCGTGTTTCTGTGTGTGTGTGTGGGTGTCTGTGTGTGTCTCTGTGTGCTGTGTGTGTCTGTGTGTTAGGGGGGAGCGATAGTGTAGCGGTTAGCGCGCTGCGCTATGAACCCGGCGACACGGGTTCGATTCCCGCTCACGGCCAACACCAGTGACGATTTTCTGAACCGGTCCCGGGCCTCCCCTAGGTCGACTCAGCCTCAAATGAGTACCTGGTGCGGTGTGTAAACATTGCCACTAGGGAGACAAAGGCGGTCGGGCGTGGTGCTGGCCACCCACCCCCTCGTGTACCGTTACCGGCCTTCATAGGTGCTCGCTAACAGCACTTGCCCCTACAGTCTGTTAAGGCTATACGGGGGATCTTTGTCTTTTGTGTCTGTGTGTGGGTGTCTGTGTGTGTCTTTTGCGTGTGTTTGTCTGTGTGTGTGTCAGTGTGTGTGTGTCTGTGTGTGTCTTTGCGTGTGTTTGTGTGTGTGTGTGTTTAGGGGAGCGGTAGTGTAGCGGTCAGCGCTACGCTGCGCTACGAACCCGGCGACCCGGGTTCGAAACCCGCTCACGGTCAACACCACCAGTGACGATTATCTGAACCGGTCGTGGGCCTCCCCTAGGTCGACTCAGCCTCAAATGAGTACCTGGTGCAGTATGTAGTGTATAGCAGTGTAGCGTGCAGTGTAGTGTATAGCGGATAATCTTGTATAGTAGTGTAGTGTATAATTTAGTGATTAGTTCATTGTATAATGTTGTGTACAGTAGCGTTGTGTAAAATAGTGTAGTGTATAGCACTTGAGTGTATAGTGTAGTGTATAGTAGTGTAATGTATAGTGTAGTGTATAATAGTGTATAGTGTAGTGTATAATAGTGTAGTGTATAGTGTAGCGTATAGCGTGTTGTACCGGGTAGTAATTTGTATAACGCACAAACACGCACACACGCAAACTCACACACGCACACACACTCACTCGCACACACACACACGTACATGCACGCACACGCAAACACGCAAACACGCACACACACGCACACATACACAGACGCACCCACGTACACTCACACGCACGTACACACACGCACACACAGACACACAGACACACACTCAGACACACAACAACAACCGCCACTCCGCCACTAAGTGGCGGTGACGTCACCACGACGCTTGTGCCAGGCCATGTGCACCTTGAGGCCACGTGAAGTGTCGAACGCCAGCGGGCAGGAGGTCACGGGGCAGACCCAGGTGCCACGAGTCGACTGACTGAGATGACTGGCTGGTGCACCACCTGTGCCCCCTACTGTGCCAACCTGCTGTGCTTTAGCCACTCGGCGCTCCGCTAGTTGTTGTGAGCGTCGCTCCTCCGCCCTCCGTTGTTGTTGAAGGGCGACTGCCTCCAACTGCCCAGTAGCGTCCTTCACGAGCCTCCTCCACAGAGGCCGATCTTGACACCGCTGGTACCAGTCATCGGCAAGTCCACTCAGCTCCACGTCCTCCTGTACCACATCACTCCTTCTCTTCTCTAGCCCGTGCCGCGCCCGTTTAGCCCCCTCGATCCGGCCGAACAAAAGCTGTTTCGGCATGTGGTGGCTGGGCATGCGGGCTACATGACCCAGCCATCGCAACCTTGCCTGCCGGAGGAGCTCACCGATGGGACCTTGCCCAGATCTTTCAAGGATTTTTGAGCTCCTCACACAATCCAGCCTGGTTAAACCCAGGATGGATCGTAGGCAGGCCAGCCTAAATGTTTCTAACCGGCGAAGATGTTCCATTAGGGGGGGTCCACGTTTCGCAAGCGTAGAGAAGGGAGGGAATGACCGTAGCCGAGAAGACATGAAGCTTAGTGCGGAGCGACAGACCAGGTAGCTTCTACACAGCGTTACGCAATCGATGAAAATATATTGCCGCTCGACTGATTCGGAGTGAGACCTCTGTTGTTAAACTGGAGCCGGTCATAAGCACGCTGCCCAGGTATGGGAAACTCTCCACTCTCTCCACAAGTGCCCCATCACCGATTGGGAGTTGTTGGGGCGGAGTGTCCGATGGTACAAAATACCCAGGCAGGTGCTTAGTTTTGGTGGGGCTGATGGTAAGGCCCCATATCTTAGTGGCACGCTCCTGTCTCAGCAGCAGCATCTCCAACTCCTCCTATGAATGAGCAGCTATTACAAAATCATCAGCATACATATCGTGGTTGAGCAATAGGGAGCCATCCCTTGACTGCACCCGGGCATCGATCAGCCTCCCATTATATCTGTACCATATGGAGATTCCCCCGGTACAGCTATTGAAGGCTTCACAAACTACGTAGTCAAAATAGATGTTAAATAATGTGGGAGCCAGAGGACATCCCTGTCGCACACCAAGGTGTTCAGGGAATGGCTCGGACTCCCGGCCACGTAGTTTTTCCCGGGCCCGCTCTTCATCATGAAGGGCCTTAATGATCGTGTGCAGAGGGTCAGCTACTCCAAAAGCACGAAGAACGACCCAGAGCCCAGGCCTACTGATGGTATCATAGGCCTTGACCAGGTCAATAAAGCAGAGATGTAGGTCTTGCTGGAATTCCCTACACCTTTGCTGTAGCAAACAGACAGAAAATATGGCATCTGTGCAGGACCGCCCTTTCCTGAAACCGCATTGGGGCTCCGCAAGCCTCTCCTCAGCGTGCCTGGCAAGGCGATGTTGAATAATCCTTGCCAGGACCTTTCCCGGCACACTGAGGAGTGAGATGCCCCTGTAGTTGTTACAGTCTGTGCGGTCCCCCTTCTTAAAGAGGGGGACCACCAGGGCATCCTTCCAATCCTGCGGTACCCGTCCAGTGGTCCAGTCTGTGCACAAACGCCACCCTCCCTCAACATTTTTCTTGGGAGATCATCTCTGCCCTTTGCCTTTCCTGGTCTCAGACTCCGGATCGCCCACACACACTCACTCACACACACACACGTACACACACACAGGCACACACACACACGTACACACACATGTACACTCACACACGTATACACACAGACACACACACACGTACACACACAGACACACAGACACGCACACACACACAGACACACACACGTACACACACACAGACACACAGACACGCACACACAGACACACATACACACGTACACACACACACGTACACACAGACACACACGTACAATACGTACACACACGTACACACATGTACCCTCACACACACGTATATACACACAGACACACACACAGACACACACACACGTACACACACACAGACACACACACGTATACACACACACAGGCACACACACACGTACACACACACAGACACACACGTATAATACGTACACACACGTACACACATGTACACTCACACACACGTATATAGACACACACACAGACACACAGACACGCACACACACAGACACACACACACGTACACACAGACACGCACACACGTACACACATACACACACGTATAATACGTGCACACACGTACACACATGTCCACTCACACACACGTATATACACACAGACACACACACACGTACACACAGACACACACACACACGTACACACAGACACACACACACAGACACACACACACACATACACACACAGACACACACACATGTAGACACAGACACACACACACGTACACACAGACACACACACACGTACACACAGACACACACACAGACACACACACACAGTCACACACACACCCGTACACACACAGACACACACACACACGTACACACAGACACACACACACGTACACACACACAGACACACACACCCGTACACACACGTACACACAGACACACACACACGTACACACAGACACGCACACACACGTACACACATACACACACGTATAATACGTGCACACACGTACACACATGTACACTCACACACACGTATATACACACAGACACACACACACACACGTACACACACACACGTACACACACACACGTACACACAGACACACACACGTACACACACAGACACACACACATGTACACACAGACACACACACACGTACACACAGACACACACACACGTACACACAGACACACACACACACGTACACACAGACACACACACACACGTACACACACACAGATACACACACATGTACACACAGACACACGTACACACAGACACACACACACACGTACACACACAGACACACACACACGTACACACAGACACACACGCAGACACACACACACAGACACACACACACCCGTACACACGTACACACAGACACACACACACGTACACACAGACACACACGTACACACACAGACACACACACACACACACGTACACACACACGTACACACACAGACACACACACACGTACACACAGACACACACACAGACACACACACATGTACACACACAGACACACAGACACACACACACACGTACACACACACAGACACACACACACACAGACACTCACACACACACACAGACACACACACACACATGTACAGACACACACACATGTACACACACACGTACACACACACACGTACACACACATGTACACACAGACACACACACACACGTACACACAGACACACACACGTACACACAGACACACACAGACACACACACGTACACACACACAGACACACACACGTACACACAGACACACACACACGTACACACAGACACGCACGCACGGACTCACTCCTCCGAGTCTGTCGACTCATTGCCGTGCTCCGACGCCGCTCCTCCTCCTCCTGTTCCATCGTCGCTGCCGTCCGTCGAAGGCAGCGGCCGCTCCGGCGACTTTTCGAACCACCACGACCTGAACCCGTCTCCTGCTGCTGCTCCTCCTGCTGCTGCTCCTGCACGTGGCGTCGGACGATGTTCGATGCGCGCGTACCGATCGTCGTCACTGCAGCGATCGTCGTCGCCGTGGTGACGGTCGCCATGGTGATCGTCGCCGTGGTGACCGTCGCCGTGGTGACCGTCGCCGTGGTGACCGTCGCCATGGTGATCGTCGCCGTGGTCCCTCTCCTCGGGTCGAGCGCACGTCGCTGGCGAGCTCTCTGGCTCCTCGTCTCCAATGCGCCTCCACTGGCGATACGAGTATTCCGACATGTCTCTGTGTGTCTCTGTGTGTGTGTCTGTGTGTGTGTGTCTGTGTGTGTGTGTCTGTGTGTGTGTCTGTGTGTGTGTCTGTGTGTGTCTGTGTGTCTCTGTGTGTGTGTCTGTGTGTGTGTCTGTGTGTGTCTGTGTGTTTGTCACTGCGTGTGTCTGTGTGTGTGTGTGTGTGTCTCTGTGTCTCTGTGTGTGTCTCTGTGTGTGTGTCTGTGTGTGTCTGTGTGTGTGTCACTGCGTGTGTTTGTGTGTCTGTGTGTGTGTCTGTGTGTGTGTGTCTGTGTGTGTCTGTGTGTGTGTGTCTCTGTGTGTCTGTGTGTGTGTCTGTGTGTGTGGCTGTGTGTGTCTGTGTGTGTGTCACTGCGTGTGTCTTTGTGTGTGTCTCTGTGTCTCTGTGTGTCTGTGTGTGTGTCTGTGTGTGTCTGTGTGTGTGTCTGTGTGTGTGTCTGTGTGTGTCTCTGTGTGTTTGTGTGTCTGTGTGTGTGTCTGTGTGTGTCTGTGTGTGTGTCACTGCGTGTGTCTGTGTGTGTGTATGTCTGTGTGTGTGTCTGTCTGTGTGTGTGTATCTGCGTGTCTATGTGTGTGTGTCTGTGGAATTCTGTCTGTCTGTGTTTCTCTGTGCGTATCTCTCTGTGCGTGTCTGCGTGCGTGCGTGTCTGTGCGTGTCCGTGGTATCCTTCGACGCCTCGGAGTGCACCTAGCCTGGCACAACCCAGGGCCCACTGATTCCCAGGTGCTTATATAGCAACGCCCGTGGAACCATAAACTTCGAGTCGCAAGGACTCCTAAACCCCGCCCATCCTAAACCCCGCCCATCCTAAACCCCGCCCATCCTAAACCCCCCCCCCCCCTTCTCTAACCCCCCCACTCTTTCCATCCTATTGGCATGGCTTTGACCCCCCCCCCCCCCATAAGATGGCTTCAGTCGAAGGAATTTTTGTTGCAGGTTGGTGGCAGGTGGGGTTGAGCTGAGTGGCAGGTGGGTGGGGCTAAGTGGCATGTGGGTGGGGCTAAGTGTCATGTGGGTGGAGTTAAGTGGCAGGTGGGTTTGGGCTAAATGGCAGGTGGGTGGGGCTAAGTGGAAAGTGGGTGTAGCTAAGTGGCAGGTGGGTGGGGCTAAGTGCCAGGTGAGGTGGGTTGCTTCTGATGAAGAGCTACTCCATAGGAGCTCAGTGGAGCCTTACCTCTTAAAATGACATAGTTTAGTCTATCGGTCTATATATGTCTCTGTGGGTCTCTATGTATCTCAGTATGTATCTGTGCGTCTCTATGCATCTCTCTGGGTGTCTATGTTTCTGATTATGTCGCTATGGATCTCTATGTATCTCTCTGGGTCTCTGTGTATCTCAATATTTTTCAGTGGGTCTCTATGTATCTCCATGGGTCTCTGTGTATCTCTATGGGTCTCAAACTATCTCAATAGGTCTCTATGGATCTCTACATATCTCTGTGGGTCTCTATCGATCTCTATGCATCTCTATGGGTCTCTACATATCACTGTGAGTCTCTATGTATCTCTATGGGTGGCTATGGGTCTCTATAACTCTCTACGTATCTCTATGAGTCTCTATGTATCTCTATGGGTGTCTATGTATCTCCATGTGTCTTTATGGGTCTCTACGTATCTCTGTGGGTCTCTATGGGTCTCTACGTATCTCTGTGGGTCTCTACGTAACTCTGTGGGCCTCTATGGGTGTCTATGTATCTTCATGGGTCTCTACGTATCTCTGTGGGTCTCTATGGGTCTCTACGTATCTCTGTGGGTCTCTACGTAACTCTGTGGGCCTCTATGGGTGTCTATGTATCTTCATGGGTCTCTACGTATCTCTGTGGGTCTCTATGGGTCTCTACGTATCTCTGTGGGTCTCTTCGTAACTCTGTGGGTCTCTATGGGTGTCTATGTATCTTCATGGGTCTCTACGTATCTATGTGGGTCTCTACGTATCTCTGTGGGTCTCTATGGGTCTCTACGTATCTCTGTGGGTCTCTACGTAACTCTGTGGGTCTCTATGGGTGTCTATGTATCTTCATGGGTCTCTACGTATCTCTGTGGGTCTCTTCGTAACTCTGTGGGTCTCTATGGGTGTCTATGTATCTTCATGGGTCTCTACGTATCGTCATGGGTCTCTACGTATCTCTGTGGGTCTCTATGGGTCTCTACGTATCTCTGTGGGTCTCTACGTAACTCTGTGGGTCTCTATCGGTGTCTATGTATCGTCATGGGTCTCTACGTATCTCTGTGGGTCTCTATGGGTCTCTACGTATCTCTGTGGGTCTCTACGTAACTCTGTGGGCCTCTATGGGTGTCTATGTATCTTCATGGGTCTCTACGTATCTCTGTGGGTCTCTATGGGGCTCCACGCCTTCAGAGTTGACCAGCTACTGCTCTACGTTTCCACACGGTTTTTTGACGACATCGATTATATCAGACACCCGGTGGAGCGGCTATCGCGTGAGATTTGCCCAGGTCGCTACTGAAACAAGAAGCTCATGAATGCCCGTGGACTTTTGACCCCGAGGGGCAGGGGGGGGGGGGGGGTTGAGATTAAAATGTAAAATAGTCGCAGTGTATTTGTTTTCTAGGGATTCATGTTACCTTCAGAAGACTTTGCACTTCCGCATCGTTTTATTTCGTAATGTGCAGACTACTGGACATCGAGTCCCAGAAGAAAGAGAAGCTTTACAGCACATCGGATTCCTGCTCCGGTACGGGGACCCACCTCTGCTTACGGACATTCAACTTACGAACTTCCAGAGATGCGAACAAAGCAGCTCCAGTACGGTCCAGTTGCAGCCTGTTTGTAAGTTCAACCTCCCCGCGAAAATAGATAGCGGTGATGGCATCTGTAGAACGCGAAGAACCAGTGGCATCTACATCTGCAGAACGTGAACAACCAGTGGCATCTCCATCTGTAAAACATGAGGAACCAGTGGCATCTACATTTGCAGAACGTGAAGAACCAGTGGCATCTACATCTGCAGAACGTGAAGAACCAGTGGCATCTACATCTGCAGAACATGAAGAACCAGTGGCATCTCCATCTGTAAAATATGAGGAACCAGTGGCATCTACATTTGCAGAACGTGAAGAACCAGTAGCATCTACATCTGCAGAACGTGAAGAATCAGTGGCATCTACATCTGCAAAACGTGAAGACCCAGTGGTATCTACATCCGCAGAACGTGAAGAACCAGTGGCATCTCCATCTGTAAAATATGAGGAACCAGTGGCATCTACATTTGCAGAACGTGAAGAACCAGTGCATCTACATCTGCAGAACGTGAAGAACCAGTGGCATCTACATCTGCAGAACGTGAAGAACCAGTGGCATCTACATCTGCAGAATGTGAAGAACCAGTGGCATCTACATCTGCAGAACGTGAAAAACCAGTGGCATCTACATCTGCAGAACGTGAAGAACCAGTGGCATCTACATCTGCAGAACGTGAAGAACCAGTGGCATCTACATCTGCAAAACGTGAAGAACCAGTGGCATCTACATCTGCAGAACGTGAACAACCAGTGGCATCTCCATCTGTAAAACATGAGGAACCAGTGGCATCTACATTTGCAGAACGTGAAGAACCAGTGGCATCTACATCTGCAGAACGTGAAGAACCAGTGGCATCTCCATCCGTAAAATATGAGGAACCAGTGGCATCTACATTTGCAGAACGTGAAGAACCAGTGGCATCTACATCTGCAGAACGTGAAGAACCAGTGGCATCTACATCTGCAAAACGTGAAGACCCAGTGGTATCTACATCTGCAGAACGTGAAGAACCAGTGGCATCTCCATCTGTAAAATATGAGGAACCAGTGGCATCTACATTTGCAGAACGTGAAGAACCAGTGGCATCTACATCTGCAGAACGTGAAGAACCAGTGGCATCTACATCTGCAGAACGTGAAGAACCAGTGGCATCTACATGTGCAAAACGTGAAGAACCAGTGGCATCTAGATCTGCAAAACGTGAAGAACCAGTGGCATCTACATCTGCAGAACGTGAAGAACCAGTGGCATCTACATCTGCAGAACGTGAAGAACCAGTGGCATCTACATCTGCAAAACGTGAAGAACCAGTGGCATCTGCAAAACGTGAAGAACCAGTGGCATCTAGATCTGCAAAACGTGAAGAACCAGTGGCATCTACATCTGCAGAACGTGAAGAATCAGTGGCATCTACATCTGCAGAATATGAAGAGTGGCATCTACATTTGCAGAACGTGAAAAAACAGTGGCATCTACAGGAGATTATACAACTTTTAAAGCCATTCCCCCGTCATTCATGTACATGCTGCACAACACGTTTAGAATCTACGGGAGTAAAGTAAATATATTCTTATTCTCGGTGTCGCTAAGTGTCAGGCGGGGCATGCCTGTCAGGTGGGCGTGGCTAAGCGTCGGGTGAGGCGTGGTTCATATTCATGTTGGGGCGTGGCTAAGTGTCAATCGGGGCTTGGCTAAGTACCAGGCTGGGCGTGGTTAAGTGTCAGGTGGGGCGTGGCTAAGCGGCGGGTGTGGGCGTGGCTAGAATTCGGCATTTTGCCTACGAACCCAAATGACCAGGAATTGCGTCTGCCACCTTTCTCAGTTTTATTTTTACCACACTCATCGAGACCGATACTAAAACTAAGCTATTCTTGGTTCTTTCGGTAAAGTCACGTAGAAGGAAAACAATAAAATAATAAAAAACACATATAAAGCAATATTAATTTAATTTATTTATTTTATTGTTTCCTTCTATGTGACTTTACCGAAAGAACCAAGAATATGAATCGCTTTAGTCACAAAAGCTTTAAATCAAAATTTGACACTAAACTCTTTATTTTTGCTGTTGTGAGGCTCCACTTTATCTGCTACGTTAGTAGCTCTTTTGTTCAGAAGCGTGCCTGTCCATCGCACGTAGCGATATAAGCTAAACGAAATTGGGTGATATCATCAACACTCGTACACTCACTTAACCACTCACTCACCCACCCACTTAACCACTCACTCACTCACCTACTTACTCACCTACTCACTCACTCAC